CACAAGGTGAACTCTGAAAACAGTCTGACATGAAATAGCCCAGGCACATTGAAGAAGGATCTTTGGAATGGGGTCCACGAGTCCTTGGAATTAGATCGGGCACATTATCTCCCAGACCAACCATGGCCTTGTTATGTACATTGTTCAAACTGTCTATGAACTAGCTCTACTCACCGCACGACACTAAAATGTACAGATAGGACTGGGGAGACAGCTCAGCACTTGAAGTGCTTCACTGAAAGCAAGGGGACTTGATTCAGACCTCAAGAACCCACATACGTGCTGGCTGAGCATGACAGCCTGCCTGTAATTCAATCCCAGCCTTGGATAGTGGTGACTACGAGTCCCCAGAGGAAGCTGACTGGCAATGGGAGCCATACTGGTGAGGTCAGGGTTTGACTGAGAGACCCTGCCTAGAAGAATAATGTGGAAGAAAAATGAAGGATGACTCCTGACATCCACCTGGGTCTACATTCACACACACACACACACACACACACACACACACACACACACACACACTCAAGCACATGCGCACGCACATACCAATATACATGCATATGCATGAAAAGAAGAAAAAAGAAAGAACAAAATAAATCTACAAGTAATAAAAAGAAATAGAAAATGAAAGGAAAAGAGGGATCTAGAAAAGAAAGATACAGACAGGATTCAAGGCAGATGAAAGAAGTGTTTGATAATGGTGATGGTTATTATGATGACGGTGATGATGGTGATGATGTTGGCTGATAGAGACGGTGATGATTATGATAATGATGGTTGATGATGGCAGCAGCTGCTGCTGGTAATGGTGGTGATGGTTGATGGTTATAGGGACGATGATGGTGATGAGCAGGATGACAGTTACGGATTTTTGGAAAGCTATCTTTTGAGACATATGCTGCAGTGATGTAACCGTGGTGCCAGCTCCGGGGTCTGCCGGGTAGCGTGTTTGGCCGGAACACTGTTGCAGATGTTTAGAGTTGGGGGATTCTAGACGAAAACCCTGACATCAGGCTGTCACTGGCATGCCTCGAATCTCTTACTGGCTTCCTCCCTGGGGGCTGCACCCCCATAGCTGTCAGGGGGCGTTTCTAGCTCCTTGCAACGTCTGTGTCTCACAGATCCTCAAGCTGCCCCCAGCCATCCTCACATTCCCACAGCATCAGCATCTCCCAGGAGTCTGGAGAAAGCCGGGCTGGTCCAGGCCTCGAGGGTATTGCATGCACTGAGCTCTGGGTATGTTATGCCAGACGACAACCAGTCCTTTATGACTGACTTCTCTCAGAGGCTTCTACAACTCAGCTACACTCTGTGTGTTTGTATGGTCACGTGTGTCCAGGTGTGTGTGAGGTGGTGCGTGCATGTGGGTGTGAACTTGCATGCAAACTAGAGAGCAACACTGGGTGCCATTTCCCTGGCATGACCTATCTGGTTGTCTTGAGACAGGTTCTCTCCCTGGCCTGAGACTTGCCATGTAGACTAGACTGGCTGGCCAGTGAGCACGAGGGGTCTGTTTCTCTCTGCCTCCCCAGCACTGGGATTATAAGCACATGACACAAGTCAGCCTTTTTTTTTTTTTTTTAGGTTTCTGAGAATGAACTTTACTGACCCCAGTACTTTACTGACTGAGCCCCTGTCCCCTATCAGACTTTCATTCAAGCCATGGGAGCATTTTTTTTAAATTTTTTTTATTAATTACACTTTCATGGGAGCATTTTTTAAAAAGCGCAGTGGCCTGGCACCACTGCTAAGGTCTGTGACCCCAGCTACTGCAGGGTGAGGTAAGAGGATTGTGACTTCAAGGTCAGAATGAGCAACAACAGCAAAACCCCAAACAAAAGCAGACAGAGTAGTTAGAAACAGCAGCCGCTAAGAGAATGCACATTCAGCTTCTTCCTGGGCCCCATATATATATATATATATATATATATATATATTTATATATATTTTTTTATTTTTTTTTTTTTTTTTTTTTTTTTTTTTTTCTACTGTCAGGTAGCTATGCGTTTGGGGGACTGTCTGAGACAATTCTTCAAGGATCAAAACTGGCAAATTCTCACTCATTGCATTATCAGCAGATTTTTTTTTTTTTTTTTTACTTGAGTAGGGAATTTTCAATTCCCTAAACTGGTTCTACATATGAGGGTATAGACAGACACACACATGCATTTTAAAGATGGAAAATTAGACAGTTCCTTCTTTAAGAACAGTTGACAAGGGATGAAAAGGAAGGCATTAATTCTAAGAAACTTCTTATCCGAGTGTGACAGACAAGCATCAGCTTCTGGGAAACAGATGCGCTCTGGCAGCTCAGTCACGTGTTGGGCTCTGCCATCCATCAGCTGTAAAGATGGAGACTTTTGTCTTTCAGAGAAGATAAATTCACTAGAGCAGAATCAAAGAAAGAGAGAAATGGGGCATTTTCATTTCTCTGAAGATCTGTGAAGTTTTAGAAATAATTATCCAAGGGGGAAAAAATCTAGCCAGGTGAGACTGATTCATCTGGAGCAGCCAGAGGAGGTTGGCCCCTCCTCCTTTATTTCCTCAAGTTCATCCTCCACAGCCTCCATCCTTACAGCCCCTTTATGACCAGAGAGAATGGCATCACTCCCATTTACAGGCGAATTGTGGGTGGTGCCTATTCCATCCTGCCATTATACGGGTAGCAAGCGGCAGAGCTGTCACTACCCCCCAAGTCAAACTGGTTAGGTTGCAGTGCCTGCATGCAATATAGGACCACGTGACTACAAATTTTGGGCCTTAATACAGCATAGGTATCTTAGAGCTCAGAAGGTCGTATGTCCGAAGTAGGTCAGCTTCTAGTGGTTTCCATGCCTGTCTGAGGCTGTGTGCTACTTAGCTTATGGTCAAGCCCAGCAGTACCAATCTTTAAGTCTTCCTTTGCCCATCTTCCCATCCCTCCCTCCCTCTAGCATCTGCTCTCAATGTCACCTCTTCTTTGCCAGCCTTGTTGCTCTTGCTTCTTTCTTTATACACCCTTCGGATGACATTAGACCTCCATGGATATGGCTCAGGACCACCTCTCTCGCTCACAAAGCCTTCCTCTGGTCACCCACGGGTGAGGAAACGTGCTCACAGGTTCCAGGGTGGCACCGTCTGGGAGGAGGAGTCACCCTCACTCTCGATGTTCTGGGGCTTCACATCTGCACACCGCACAGGTGCGTGCTGCATCCCGACGCACACATTCTCAATGAGGGTGTTATTGACCCCCAGGATGCCCAGACTGGTCCCAGGGGAGGGGATGAAAAGCCTTATTCTTTTCACAAGAACCCAGACGCAAGCCAAACACGGGTACGAGCCAGCATCTCTATGATACGAGAACACAGAACATGGGATCCTCCGAGCAATTACTGAGTCACCTCCATTGTCCCAGGAGCCACCTGTGGGTCCAGCACGTCCTCCCACACACCCTATGCCTTCGTTGTCCCCAGTGTTCGCTCCCTGCCTCCTTTGGCTTCTGCCCCAGACTTCAAATCTGTTTCAGTGTGAAGGTGACTCAGGCATCTCTCTGGAGAGCAGATGTGTCTTTTTAAAGCACATCTCTCTCTCTCTCTCTCTCTGTGTGTGTGTGTGTGTGTGTGTGTGTGTGTGTGATTAAGGAACAGAATGTTAATTAAACGGCAGCTGCATTATCTCTGATATTACAGCTTGGCTTTATGCGAATCCCTGCCTTACAGTCTCTAAGGGGAGGTGTGCAGTAGCTTTCACAAAAACAAACCAGAGAACAATTGTCTTCCACGATGGTTAAAAACCCCTTTGACTTTCCTTCCCGGGACCTCTCGCTAAGTGCCATCTCTTTCTTCTTGCTTTTGGTGATGAAGGGAAGCTGGGCAGCCCGCTCTCTCCTACCTTACCAGGTGGATAGGGATTGCCAAATATCAGCTGGGCTGTGGCATTTCTGTAACCAGCAACTTATAAGTCAGAAAAATACAGAGACTCTTTTTTGAAAATGTGTACATGTGTGACTGCGTGAGCTTCTGTATGCTACAGGCACGCAGGAGCCATGGAGGACAGGAGAAGGCACCAGATGCTTATGGCATTATGGGTGGTTGGGAACCACCCTGTGAGTGCTGGCATTGCCCCCATCTCCTATAGAAGAAGAGCCCGTGTTCTTGACTACTGAGCTGTCTCTCTAGCCCTAGAGTAGCCCACCTTCTTGGAAGGACTATTTATTAGGTCTGGCCTGGAAGAATGCGGAAGGGTCCATCCCCTCTAAGCCTACGATCCCTGGGAAGTCTGAGGTTTTGTTTTCTCCAGTTCTCCAAAGTCAGGGGGGAGGTGAGGCCGGGTCACTCATCAAATGGTCATCAACTGCAACCAAGTCATATAGCAGAGGAGCTGCCAAATTTGGGGTGGGGGGCGGATTCTAAGTTAGGTACGTTGACCCTAAACGGCAGAGACCCTCAGGGCTCTCACTCTATTGCCTGTTCTTGTCTGCTGCAAAGCCCTGCCAAGCTGCCATGTGTGGCCACAGGAGCATTGTCATGGCTTCAATTGCATCTCTCTGAAGATGCTGAGGATCTCACCCCTGTGAAGGGGACCTCATCCTGGAAGTAGTCTTTCAAATGACCATGATGGGGTCGTCAAGGTGGGCCCTGATACAGCATAACTGTTTTCTTATGACAGCAGGACTTCAGGTTTACAGATGGACCCACATACGGGGGTGGGATGGGGTGGGGGAGATGCCGTGGAGACACAGGGAGAAGCCAGCCCTCCTTGAGTCAGAATGGCCTGAATGAGGTCTTCCCCAGACCTCAGATGAGACCAGCTTGGTGACGACTAGATTCTGGTTCCAAAACCACAGGAGCGGCAGCTTCTAGTATGTAAGAACCCAGTGTAGGCCCGGTGTTTCTGCCACCCCAGGCAGTAAACAAGAGCTTTCCAGGCAAACCTGTGACTCCACCCTTACTCCGGTCACTGTGAATAGGACCAGAGGCCCCTCACACTCGAGCTGAGGGGTCTTCATACACACCACTCACCTTCATCGTAGTGCTGAATCACATGAGTAGACACCATCACTGGGTTCCCATTCTGAACACACTCATTGTCTGACACCACCTGCAACAGAACCGCTGGTTTCAGTGGCCAGGTCTTCAGGGGAAACTCACGCAAGAGGCTCAAGACTACAGGAGCATCTTCCCGAGGCAAATTTAAAGGCTGTCCCTGTAGAAAGTGCCAGCTTTCTATCTGGCCTTGGAATAGCCAAATGATTCACTCAGACCAGATTACTGTCATGATAGGATCACCCCGGGGGCCATGCTTCATCTCACCAGCCTCACCTGGGGAGGGAAATCCTCGAGACACAGATGGCATGCCGAGGCCCCAAAGGGGCACTGTTCAATAAGGAACCGAGCAAGAATTTAGCGCGGCGATTCAGCGGCCTGCCAGGCTGATTTCACCTGTCTGTCTTGGCTGCACAAATGCAAGCATTAGCCAAGCCTTTTTTATGAACACCGCTGTCAAATACCGGATGTTTACTGTGTGTATGTGTCTGCGTAGATGTGCATGTATGTTTGTGCGTGTGTGAGTGTGTGTGCCAGCGCTTGTGGAGCTGAGAGGGCAAAGTCTGGTGCTGTTCCTCGAAACATCCACCTGTTTCGAGACAGTGGCTTGGAGCTCACCCAGTAATCGCCCACAAGCTCCAGCCCGCAAGCAGGACCTTCCTGCCTTTAACTACTCGGGATCGGTATATACAGGTTTGGCTTTTTTTTTTTTTTTTCCTCTCTTTTAATGTGGGCTCTGGGAATCGAACTCAGGTCTTTACACTTGTAAGGCAAGCACTTTACCCACTGATCTAACTCCCTAGCCCCTTGGCCTCAGATCTGGACAGATGACCTTCAGGAGATATTTCTAAGTGCTAACTCTCCACCAGGGCGGCATGTGCCATCGTCAAGTGACAGCACTCCCCTCCGCTCTGATTTCCACAGTTTCTCGTTAAACTGGTCTGTGGAGAAAGTCAGACGCTGTGACTGTAGAGGTTTCCCAGAGGGTCAATGCACAGCTGATTGCACTGGACCACTGAAATACGCCTAGGGTTGTCAGCTGCAGCACTGGAGATGTTTGGACTTGGTAATTTTCTCTCTCTGTAGGTCGGAGGTCTACACTGGGATCCTCAGGTCTCAACATTTTACGTGGGTGCTGGGGACCAGAACTCAGCTTCTAATGCTTGTACCGTCAACACTAGACCCACTGAGCCTGCGCCCCTTCCACACAGAACCTGCATTTTAACCAGCTCCTCGGTGGACTCCTGGACTTCAGCTACCGCCAACCAGCAGTGACGGCAGCAGCCCTCAGACCCCATCTTTCCTCAGCGAGCCCTGGCAGAGTAGAGCCTTTTGGACTCCACTTCCTGGTATCCAGTGTGCTTACCTTGTAAGTGTCTGCATCCGGGTCATTCTCTTGCTCTTCAGTTCTCAGTGGGACGCTCATTTGGTTGCCCATTGTTCCTCTGATAGAATAAAGGGAGGAAAATAAAAACACAAACCTTAGCACTTGAAGGTGAAACCAAGATACAGACAAGCCCTCACTCCGGCTGGCACCTGCCTCCAGCCTTCTCTTTCTCCACAATGAAATTCCTGGAAAAAAAATCTCAACCCTTGGATACCATTTAAAAATATATATTTAAAAAATGATTTATTAATTTTATTTTATGTGTCTGGGTGTTTTTGCCTTTGTGGCACCTGTGTGCCATGTACATGCAGTGTCCCAAAAGGCCAGCAGAGGGCGCTGGATCCCCCTAGAACTGACGTTTACAGAGCCGTGAGCCAACATGTGGATGCTGAGAATTGAACCCAGGTCCTTTGGAAGAGCCAAGGGGAGGAACAAGGCGTCTCCAGAACATCTTCACTCCTGACAGGACAGGTGATAACTCAGACAAGCACGGTTCCTTGTGTGGAGACTGTTCTAGGAGCTTCTCCGCTCCCATTCGAGAACTCATTCGACTTTTCAAGACAGGGTTCCTCTGTGTAGCGTTGGCTGCCCTGGACTTGCTTTGTAGACCCAGCTGGGATCCAACTCACTGAGATCCAGATCCACCTGCCTCGGCCTCCCCGAGTGCTGGGGTTACAGGCGTGCGCCATCATGCTACCATTCATTGACTCCTTGTAACAAATCAGCAGGACCATGGGAATGTTGCCCAAGTTTGCCGACGAGAAAAGCAAGGCAATACATAAACAGGTGTGTGTACTTGTGTACACACGCGGACACCTTTATACATTTATACGCAGCGCACGCGCACACACACGAGGCCGCTATCAAAATTCAGCTTTTTACAAGCTTAAACATTGCTCGTTAGCAATCCAGCACAGTTCATTTATAAGCTCTTATTGTTCGATCCAAGTGTGAGATCCTATTTAGCGGCGACGGGGGGTGGGGGGGAGGTTGTGGTTGTGTGTGCACCTGTCTGCGAATGTGTGTGGGCATGTGTGTCGGTCAGAGGCTCACATCCAGGTGTCCTCCTCGATTCCTCCACCTTAGTGTTTTGAGGCACTTGGGTCCTGGGAATCTGATCTCAGATCCTCACGCTTGTGTGCGAGCACTTCGCCTGCTGAACCATCTCCCCGGGGTCCTTAAGGGGCGACTGCTTTCAGCACACAGTTAAGTTCATGGACTGTCTTGGGCTGGGAGATGTTCAGTCAAGATGACAAGTCTTTTCATCCCACAGAGCTGAGGTTCCCCGACCCTTTTGCTGCACGCTCTAAACAAGTCTTTCTGCAACTTCAGGGCCAGGGTGGGTAAGCAGTGGGAAACGCGGGGCCTGTGTTTTGCTGAGATCACTGCTTTCTTCGGCAATCAGAATGTCCCCCTAAAGCCGTCCATTAACTGTTTTAATCGCAATATCAACGAAAAAGGTTTACTGCCACCTACTGGCAGATATAAGAACAGCAGAAATGAATTCCTTGAGCCAAAAGGCTAAAACTTCAAGCAACCTGAGGTTGTCCGGAGCACTTTGATGGCTGGAAAGGAACATCTACTAACAGCTGGCAGGAGGGTGGCAAGGTTTCCAGGGCCCAACAGTGCTGCGACTAATAAAGCAGGAATGATAGCCATGCCTGTCCGGTCTGGAGAATTCACACAGGCTGGTGCAGAGGGCCCTAGGCCAGTAGTTCTCAACCTGTAGGTCAGCAAACCGCAGCAGCCATTGGAAAACACAGACATTTACATTACAATTCACTAACAGTAGCAAAATCACAGTTTTGAACCATAGTTTTATGGTGGGGGGGGTCACCATCACGTGAGGAACTGCATTAAAGGTCGCAGTATTGGGAAGGTTGAGAACCGCTGGTCTAAGGGAGCCCAGTGGAACATGGGATTGCAAAGCGGGCTCTAGAGTTTACACTGAGTTTACATATGCCTGATGGCTCAGGCTATCGAACCCCCTTTTAAAAAGGTGTACAAGTGTTTTGTATGTGTGTGCATCACCTGGGTGCCTGGTGCCCAGGGAGGTCAGAAGTGGCCATTGAATCCCCTGGAACTGAAGTTATAGACAGATACTTGATGCCATGGGGGAGCAGGGAGCTAAACACCCAGTTCCTCTGCCAAAGCAGCCAGTTCTCCTAACCACTGAGCCATCTCTCTGTCCCCGAGCACTTTTAAAAGTGAGATAAAACTTTGTATCTATCCCACTAGCTCATTTGCAGATGGTCAGTATTTTCATGTGTGGGGTTTTCTTTTTGCTGTTTAAGTTTGTGCAAATTTTTATGTATCCTAGATATTAACCCTCCGTCTGGGTACAGCTGGCTAAGATTTTTTTCCCATTCCATACAGGCTCTCTGTGCCCTCTGTTGGTAGTTTCCTATTCTATGCAGTGACTTTTAAACTTCATGCAGTCCTATTTGCTAATTCTTGGGGCTATTTCCTATGCCATTGGAGTGCAGTTCAGAAAGTTCTTGCTCATTGCATAGAAGCTTCTATGCAATAGGGAGTGGGAGAGTATGAGGGAAAGAGAAGGCAGGAGAATTAATAACACGTTTGGTGATGTTGTGCCGAAAGCTAATACTTTTATGCTAGTTTAAAAGTTAATTAATTAAGGACAATAGGCCAATCTCAAGAGATGACTGTGAGGATTAAGGGAATTAATGTACACAAAGTGCTGTGCTCAGGGCCTGGCACATGGCAGCACCACCTAAATGCTAGCCACAAACAGGAGCATCTTCACTACTGTCCTCTCCTCAAAGGTGTCTGGTGATGAGACTCCGCTGAGGAATCTGTGTTTGGCTCCCAACTGCGTGAACTGTGAAAGGAGAGGTCTCTGCCATGAAGGCTCCTCACTCCTATCTGTGGTTTTTACTTTATTTTTCAGACTGAGCAGACTAAAGGGTTTAGGAGATGGCTCTGTAGGTAAAATGCTTGCCACACAAGCATGAGCCTGAGTGAGGTCTCAGGAGCTTCTGTATGGAGCTGGCTGCAGTGTTGTGTACCTCCAAACCCAACACTGAGGAGGCAGCAAAAGGCACATGGGGATCGTCGGTCAGCCTGGCTAATCTATGTTGTGAGCCTCAGACCAGGAGAGACCCTGTCTCAAAGCACACTCTGGCAGAGGACCTTGGTTCAGTTCCCAGCACACACGAGATGGCTCACAGCCACCTGTGACTCCAGTCCTTTTTCTAGCCTCCAAGGGCCCCAGGCACACATGGTATACATGTAAAAAAACAAAACTAAAACAAAACACCCAATATGGACAGCATCTGAGGAATGACAGCCAAGATTGGCCTCTGGCCTTCACACACACACACACACACACACACACACACACACACACACACACACA